TCCTGTCCGTACTGGCCACAATTTAAGTGAAGTTTTGAATACTTTGTTAGGACTGTCCCCCATTACTTACATTGAAACTGCAATAGAAAATGATCTATTTGTGGGCAGTGGAGAGGACAAATAATTAGAATTACCAACAATGCTTTCAATGCACATATGGACGTGTGAGTATTGTTTTAAGACCAGCTTAAAAAAATGTTAACCTATCCTTTAAGTGATCCATTAACTAATTAAATATAGTAAGTAATCATCAAATTGAATGAATCAATCTCAAGGTATATTACCTCTAATGAAGCATCATCTCTGACTGTATGTACCAAATGGCTGAAGGAAGCGGTCAGTTGAGAAGGAAGAGAGGAGGAAGAAGAAGGGGTACAAGGAAAGCAGACACCACACTGGGAAGACACATTCAGGAGTAGATGCAGTGTCACCTCCTCTTTCCCCTCCGCTTCAGACTTCAGGTATTGTTGCTGAGCGTAACAAAGGGGGAATGGAGATGTTAATATCACTGGATTTCTTTAGCCACATCACCTCAGTGCAGAACTGACCCTACAAGTCAGACTATGTTGCAGCCAAATTGCATAGTACAGGGCTGTCTTTTTACATCTGAAGGTCTTGTTAATAAACACAGCTGCAGATCAACAGATACACAGCTATGTTAATAACAAAATATCTGTGCAATTAAATGGAAAATTGAGACTCTCATCAGTGCAGATTGATAAAATCATTATGATCAACAATACCACCATCGGTTATGGGTTGTCTTCTAGATTTCTTATTTTAGAAAAAATCTGTGCAATATTTAAAATAAATAGCACTATTATTATGATTATCATCATCATCATCATCATCATCATCATCATCATCAGTCAGTCAGTGTCATCATCACCGTGATGTATTACCAAAGCTCTGAAGAAGTCCATGAGCTCTTGATGTCCTGTGGTAACAGGCCTGAAACTGTTGTGCATTCTGAGGTTGAACCACTGCAGGCACTCTGAAGGGCTTGGTGGACGATCTCCTGTCCTGCAGTCACCCATTTTGGCCTGGAGCTCCTTTAGCTGCTGTTCAATGCTGAGAGAAAGGGAGAAATATTGTGTAAGTCTGAGCTTAAGTATACATCACCAAGCTCAGAGTACAAGACTAAAGCACTCAGCAAAATAAATGTTAATTTGGGAAATGAGGTAGAAAATCCTGCCAAAACTTAAACACCAACAGAAAGGAGTAAACTATGCAGAAAGATGGCATTTTATACCAAATTTTGTTTCAATTTTTCAGTATTTCTTGTTAAAAATGTACCATTTTTACCCTTTGACTGGTTTGATTGGGTCCATCTGATATTCTCCTACATGCCACATTTACCAGCACACAGCTGTTCCTGTTAATCTAAACTACTCCCTTATCCAGTCGTGATTGGAAAAAGTGTTTGACTGTCAAGATCTGCTGGGACAGTGTCTTCATTTTGAAAGGAGACGGTTGAGAGATTAAGTACACCACAGTTATTCAGACATGCCCAAATGGAGACACTGCTGCTGCACCACAAACACACTGGGACAATACACAAACCACTCACATAAACACATAGACACCATGTTGAAGATGCACATGGATCTACACACCACATCACATTCGGTTCTCGCTCACTCTCATTCAGTGTCCGTACAGTGAGAAGACAGATACAGACGCATCAACAGTAATGAACACAGACATCCATATATCAGTGTGTGAGTGTGTGCTAAGCATCTGGTGTGAAGTTGCGTTACAGGCATCGGCAGGCATCTGAGGCACACACTTCTTGCCGTCTCACGTCTTACTTCCCCTTGACACAAACACACACACACATACACACACAAACACAGCTCTTTTGATTTTAACAGACTGCATGAGCTATTCCGTTTCCCCTTTAATATGACAGATTAGAAATGACATCTTTGGGCTCGACATGTTTAGTCATTTCCATGCAAATCAATGCATATATATTTGGCCATGTAAGGCAGTGTGTAAGTATGTGTGTGTGTGTGTTTGTGTGTGTAGGCCTACATACCTGCATAATTAAACATGTTATGATGTTGTGTTCATGTGTGACTGTGTGTTTCTTTGTCTTAATATATGTGTTGTATGTTCTGGTGCATACAGTAAAAGTAGGGTTGAAGAGATCAGACAAGATTAACAAGAAAATCAAGAAAATGCATAAATACTAAGGAACTGGAAAAATACAAGCACACCTTGTCATAAGATATGCATCAAACTCATGACTGTTACAGCCTCATACGAGCCAAACTGAAAGATTCAGTGTCAAGATTAATTCTCTGGGAACATGTATTGAGCAGCACATATTCAAATACATAATTAATGTATTGATTAGTTGCAGATCTACATTATCTTCTAGTCTTTCAAACTTCCAAACTATGTGTGAATGTGTGTGTGTGAGCATACATGGTACAGAGCCAAAGTGCCATTTCCCCATCAGACAGCTCATCCCCTACCGCAGGTCTATAAACTGCCTCCTGCCTGCTCCTGGGCCATGAACGCATCCAGATGTCTTACAATGGCAACACATTAAATAACCGTTCAATCTGACACACTTTCGTTTCAGAGGGGAAAAACGCAAGGGGATAAAATGTTATAGACTGTTACAAACCGCTATCCTCTAGGTTGAATCATTCTCTCTCCCTTTAACTATCTCTTCCTCTCTCTTCTTCTTTAGGCAGGCCAGATGATGCATCTCACTTTATTCTCTTGACACCAACTTGCTGACTGACAGAAACCTTGATTATAAAGTGGGTGTATTTTTGTGTGTTTGGAGTCTTCAATTCCAGGCAGTATTTGTTACACAGAACTATCAAACCCTTCATTAAAGTATAGGCCTTTCTCGGGTTTTCATGTTCACCTTGCCTTGCTCACTAGCTGTACAACACATCTGCAGCAAGGTCAAAGCATAACCAGTATGGCTCAGGGTTTGCTGACGGCACCGTGTGTAAAATTAATAGACACCACTTTAAAGAACACAAAGGACTGTTCAGATGCTGGTTTGTTTGGCGACCTCTGACTTTGCCTTCTCTAAGGAGAACATAACAATGACTTTCTGAAAATGTAGTTCTGGATACAATATACTTAAAATAACAAAACCTTCTCTTTCCGCTTAAAGAAAGCTTCTCAGGGTAGGCAAAATATAAAGAGAAGAAACACATATGTGAGAATAAATGCAAAAATAAGAAATGTGCTAAATTTAATTTTTACCATAGATTTCTGTCATATCCCATGTCTTGCAATTAAACTTCGCTGTAGATTAAATGGTAGCACAGAGCACTGTATGTGTTTATAGTACGTCATAAACATCGATGTTCGTTCTGGGCTCCACCCCAGGACTTCATACAGACAGCAGGTTTCAAATGGGCTTCCATCTGTAGCACACTTTTCACCGACTCTCTGAAGTTCATTAAAAGCAGAAATCGTAAGTAGACTGCACTGTAGATTGGAACTGGGTGGCTTTTCTCTTGTTACTCGGTTTGATAACAGAATTGAGGTCGGATTAAGCTTTCTAGGACATCCACCCTGATAGCCTGGGACTCTGTGAAGTGTAAGAGCAGTCTCCAGGACTCAATTTTGCCATATGTGGACACGACAAAATGAGATTGTTGACTTGAAACCCATATGAAGCTATAGACTAAGACAGGAAGGAGAATGGCTTTTAGGCTTCATACTCTTTCTCTAGTTCCACTCCCCATCATCTCACTCTTGCCTTCACTCAACAAAACAATGTACTCTAATGGCTACAGCAACAGCACTTGCCTCTCAGATATATTTTCAAGCCTTGCCTGCAGTTTCGCTCTCACGACTTCCCCTCTTTCTTTCCTCTCTCCTCAAAACTCGTACTTTCCTAATTTTCTTTTCTTTACTCTCGCCTTTCAATTACCCCTCCTTAGGGCCTTGTGCTGTAAGTTATAAAGTCAATGTGGATGGTCTGTGTCAAGAAGTCCATCCAGCTCCCTACAATGTTGCGACCTTTTGCCCGCCGGTGTAAAAGCTACCTGCAGCCTAATCAACTTGCCAGGATTAGCTCCGAACCTGATGACTTCCACTGCCAGCAGCTCAGACGCCGAGGAAAGAGACAGAGAGAGAATGAGAGAAGAGGAAGGTAAAACTGTGTAGAAAACAGAGGAGTCACAGAAAATAAAACCATTCAACTTTCTGTGTAAAGACGACAATGGACAAACCCGTAATGGCAAAAACGCAGGAGCAGAACTCAACAAAAGACCTGGAGAATGAGAAAAGAGGCTAAGGAAACTGGGAGGAAAGGATTCTTTAGGCCTCTTGACAAACATGTCAATCATCTTACCCTAACTGACACACACACGTACACACACACACTTGCACTTTCACTGCTGAAGTGAAATCTAATTGTTTTTCAGACCGGTCTAGCTTGACAGTCGACACCGCAACCGTGCTCCCCCCAACCTTCACCACCGCTGAGAGAGAAAGGGAACAACCGGAGGTCTTTTATTAGATATGATGGCACATTTCACAGCTCCCTGACTTACAGAAACCCAATCCCGCGATTAGTCAGCGCTTTGACGTTATCTTAAGTTCCTTGTCAGAATTAATTTAGTGTGGGTGGGCTGCTGTGGGGCTGTCTGTCTGTTGCGCTCTGCTCCCCTCCACTCGCCTACAGGAGGTGGGGGGTTGGAGGCAACGGGGGCAGGAAGATCCCTTTCAAATAAGCCCCAGCTCCAGTCAGTGCCAAACCAGCCGCCTGAGAACTAAATATCTCCTCCATCAAAGGGCCCCATTCTGCAAGGGGAAAAGGAGTGAATGGGCTTGAATGAACAGGCTGAAAACAGATCCCGTCCTGGCCCAGCCTGTCGCCCACTTAGTGCCCTCAGCCCTCAGACCCCCAGCCACCCGGCCCAGCCAATGATACCGGAGAACCGATACAGCTGATATACTAACTTAACACACGTGTCACGCACAGCTAAACACAAAATCAACTACATACTGCAAGGACTACAGATCAGTATTTTTGTTCAATGAAAAGGAACCTTGCACGATATTTTACTGTGGCAGGCTTTCAAGTCCACCTGCTTGTACACATACGCAAAATCCTGATTATCAGAAGCACTTACACACACACACAGACAGAATCAAATTTAAAAGAATTGATATTGTACCCTGATCAAGATTGGCAGGTGACTAGTGAGAGCCATTTTCCTTGCCAGTGTGAAACTAGAGGCCTGTCTGCAGTCTCCAGGCCTGTGCTGACACTTCATTAGAGGTCTTTTCCTGGTGGCCCACCGCTCCCCGGCCCCACTCTCCACCCAACTCTGCACCGCGCCACTGTCCCATCTGATGAAAACTGATGGATTACAGCATTTCAATTTGAGGGAGGCAGCTCCGTTGTCAGCCTATCTTAATCTCCTGCAATTAGGGAGCAGCTCTTAGGCAAATCTCTGACATCTGAGTACTGGGAGCAGGCCAGTCACTTTGACCCATAAACAGGCTGAAGTCCTTCACGGGTGTGGGCAGCTCTGTCTCCTCCATCTCTCGGCTTCCCTTTCCTCTCCTCCACTTCCGTAATTTGTCCCAGACACTGATAAGTCAATTAGGCAGCAGGTGAGTGAGCTCTGGATGTGTGTGTGTGGGTGTGTAGATGTCTGCAGCCCACCCCAGTTGAAGCGAAAAAGAGGCCTTGCAAGATTTTGTTTGCCTGGATGTGTCCCGACAGTAAAAGGGCTGTTCTGAAGTAGTCTGGGAGGAAGTTAGCTGCTGCCGAACAGACACTGACCAGTGGTCCCCCACGGCGAGAGGAGGATTGCCTTATTTTTAGCCCCATTCTCCATTATCTGGACGCTTTGTTCTCATAATGGTTATCCCTCTCCCATCTGCAGGAACACAAAATAACCCTTTAATGCTTAGAAAGCAGAAAAATGGCCCGGCCTTCGGTAATAAGCCTTGAATTACCTACCCAAGGGTTTTCGTTTCAAGATGTGGAATCTTCAATTATTATGTTCCCATTTAGAAGGAGGTAGGAAAGAAAGAGAGAGAAGGGGAGGGAGATAGAGGGAGAGAGTGACGAAGGGATGAATCCCAGACACTAATGGTGCCAGAGTGAGGCTTTGTTCACTTGCTACATTTAGCCTGTCCTTCATCATCTGCCCTCAGCCTCACAACGCCACAAACGATAAAAGACCTGAAATATAGATTTCTCTTTTTCTTCTCTGCCCCCCATGTCTCTCTCTTTATCAATCTATTTGTGCTCCCCAACTACGTCCATCTACCACCACTGATAGATGTCTATATTTCAGTCTTCAATTACAAAAAAAACTAATTTAAGTTTGTTCCAGTAATTAATACAATTTAACCACAAAGAAAGATTCTTCTTTCGGTTTATGTTATTAAATACTTGACCCTTAATGTTGGGAACATTGTAAGATTATTCTTTAAGTTTGATCATGGCCTCTTTATGAATCTCAATACAATAGTCACAAATTAAATCAACACAGACTATGTTTACATGCACATGACAAACAAGGTTATTGAGGACAAATCAGGCTGAATAAGACAACGTGTTTACTGCAATTAAGTGGTTAGTCTAAAACCCAAGGTTACTTGCGACTGGTTCTCCCAATGTGCTACTATGTGTTTGATCCAAGGCATGTATATTTTCAGTGTATAAGTTGTATGTATAAGAATGGAAAACTCTTTTATTTTTTGCACATTTCTGACTGCACAGTCAAAGGATAGTCATTGTCAGCTCACACTTTTTTCCTACTGTGCAAATGTGTCTGAATTTTACAAACAGGCTGTTCAGCTGTGAAAAATGACGTATTTATTTCAGTTTCGGAGTCAGTTGTAATCAGGCTTTGGATTTAATTACTACATTTCAGACAGAAGAACACACAGTAAGGATCTTTCCTTTCATTCCTCCACACTTCTGCCACATTGATACTTTACCTGTCTGTCTTATCTGCATTATCGAGTAAATGTTCTGTTAGGCATGTGTGCACAGGGTCAAAAGATCTGAAACCTGTTAACCAGGTTAACCGGGTTTCTACTTCAACTAAGGAAACAGACACAACTATTACTACATCATTACACAATTAGGGATTCTAATTTAACCAAATCATGATTTCATATTTCTACCTCTGGAACACTGCTGCCAGTGTAAACAATATTACTGGGTTTTTGTTTTTTTAAGTCTGTCAGTCATGCAGGTTGCTCCTCTCTTTAAAATTATTTCTGCTAGTGTCTGCACATAGTCAGCATAAAAAAATCAGAGCTTGTTTTCCCACCTTCAGAGTAAGCCATTTTTTGCACCTAATCTTTGTACACTATGAACAACAACTTCCACAGAAGTAGAATTTTCTGAGAAGTAATATAAGCCATCAAAGTAAACATGAAGCTTTAATCATGTTTTGTCAAAGTTACTGTTTAACATTAAATTAATTGTACCAGTGTTGTGTTCTTCTACTAAATTGTGCATTATATTGTGCTACACTTCCTGTCATTCACCTGCGATCCACAGTAAAATGGAAGGCCTCACCAGGGGATAATCCCTCAAAAATAGGCGGCTTTTAAAACTTTTCTGTCATGTCTGTGTCTTCTTATTTGGGGTGTTTTTGTCAGCTGGGACAGTATTTCATTGGCTGGCTTTATCATAAAGTTTAAACGTCAAAAGTGCTGAAAGCAAGTAAAAGTAATAGTGGGCACATTCAAATAAAAGGGGTATAACTTTAAAAATGTGTAATAAGTAAAAAAAAAAGAAGAAAATAAGTCGATGCTTTTGCTAATCTGACTGACCTGTTGGCATTGAGAGCGAGTTTCTCCTCTGTGTCTTTTTGGAGCTGTTCAAAGTCCAGCTCACTGGAAACCCCTGGAACCAGCAGCTCCACAAAGGCATGGTCATCAGGAAAATCCCCCGGCCAATCCATACTGCTCTGCAGGGAAAAGGAACTGGAGAGACAAACAGAGAGTTGACTATATTGTATAACATTAGAAACGCTACATGTGACATGTACCAGTTCATAAAACAAAATAATGGGAAAACCAGGACTGGTGTCAGGATTAAATCAACAATTTAGGATGACACCAAATAACAGACATCTGAAGTATTGTATTATCACAGCTGTCTGTCAAGAAACTGAACACACATGCACATTCTGGACACAGACACAGTCATGTGGTCTACAATAATTTGAAATTTCCTCCAACAGGAGTCTTATTAGGAGGCACAAATCAATTGCACCTGAAACACTTGAAAAAAGGGAAGCTTATCAACAAAAACAGTTTCTTCCAGCTCCCCTCCTCTTTCCTCAGAAAGTCATTTAGAGAAAGAGTACCCCCTGATCAAAATGCATTGCCTCAGCCTCTAACCACTTCCACCTACTGACACTACAGTGAGTTAACACAGCTAAAAAAAAAAAAAAAAGACCAAATAAATAAACAATAAGGTGAGATGCTCTTCAGTCGAGGCTTTAAATAAACAACTCATCTCCTTACGTCTCTGCCAGAACTGAGGGCCACCCCACTACCCTATGGTGCTTAACGCTCATGCTAACAGCCAATCCCACGCCGGTGCTGCGTTGCTGGGTCTCATATCAACATTGTCATCAACGCAAGTCAAGTGGAAGGTAATGGAGAGTGTCTGTGTCAATTTGGCTTTCTCACACTCCGCCTCTCGCCCCTTTCCTCGTCATCTGCTCTGATTTTAATAATCCCTGTCAAACTCCAAACAGCTCCTCGCACTCCGCTTCTTCGCTGCTGCATACAGTCTATGCCACTCTCCCTGACAGGGCAGACAGGAAGCTCAACATTCATTTAGCCTGCACAAAGGGAGGCCTGTCCAGCTGGACAAATATTATTTTCCTTCGCTGACAGCCTCACCAGTTAAGCTTGTCCTTTATTACTTCTCCCTCTCTTCTTCTCTCTTACTGTTTCCCCTCATCATCACGCTCCCTCTGCGCCACTGTCTGAGAAGGGGTCTATACAGCAGACATTGCTAAAAAGGAAGAAGATTTTAAATCCATGGATTAGGAACTCAACATTGTAATTATATGGGCCAGACAGTGTGTGTGCATGAGATTTTGAATAGTATCTGTTTATAACCATGCCATCTACACATCAACACCATACTTCTCTTTATGTGTATGAAAGATAGACAAACAGATGGACTGAAGGTCTGAATGTGTACACTGTATGTCTGCTGGGTGTCTACCTCCTGGTCTGCCAACATATCATCTGTTATCTTAAGCATGAGTGTGTACATGTAAGTGTGAGTGTGTCAGGATTCTCCAAGCAGCACACAGGGCCTCATTAGTACTAGACTTTAAATCATCTGGTCTCCATTGTCTTGTCATTAGCTCTTTAAAAAGCAGATGTTGGAGGAGCTCCTGTGTGTTTCACAGTGTTGCAGCAGGGACAACTGGGCCAGGCGCTGAGACGCTGCCTGCCTGAGACATCGACTCCACAGCTATTAGAACAGGGGAAGAAACACACACACTCACACTCACACACATCACTGTCCTATCTCTCTTGCTGCTGCCTGTCTACCCCAGCTAGGCTAACACACAGGCCCATTTACAGTAATGAGTTTGTCCTGAAATATTTAGCAGCACGTCCCCCAGGCCGCCGCTTTAAAGCCACTTAGAGCATGTCAAGTTAAAGTCAACATTATTTTAAAGGGGGTACCTAACAGTCTGCTGTAAAGGAAACATAATAAATTAAATAGGTGAATAGTCTAAGATCACAACACTGCTGAAAACTATCTCATGCATGCCCAGGGGGGAGCCTGGCTTCACGGTTACTGTGTGTTACTGCTGCACTGTACTGCTTTTGAATGATTTTCTTCTTTACAATAAGTCCTGTATGCTTAGTGATGGGCTTTAGTCTCGTCAGATTTGATATAGTGATATTTCTGCTCAATTTAGGAGGCACTAATCTTGTTCAAATATATTGGTCACCTCCTTTCTTTACTACAGGGAAATACGTGGACATAACATCTTCTTAAAATATGTTGTGTAAGACTGTTCCTGAAATTGCAGTGCAACAACCTGGCATCATCATAACAAATACCTATGTGATTAGCCTACACTGAGTGAATGAATAATACATGACTTAATCCGGATATTACTTGTCATTGCTGTTTAGTAGAATTATCATCATCATTCAACAGTATTAAAGTACCCTGAGCAATGAGTCAATTACAACTATTGGAAAACAAAACAATATTGTCACAATGGAGTAGTTCATATTGTGTAGCTTACTGCATCCCAACTGGCATGATTTAAGTAACCTTAAATACTCCAATCCTACACATGCACTTTGGGGGAAATGACACACATCAACCACATAAAGGTTGCATGGTTGTATTTGATAACTGCACAGGTAATGAAAAATGATCACTTACAAAGTAAATATGTCCATACATTGTAAACTGCAAAGATGCATAGTGCTGCAACTAACAAGTATTTGTATTATGAATAAATCTCTCATAAGGGATCAATCATTTGGTCTGAGAATTGTCAGGTAATAGTGGAAAACGCCCCATTTCAGATCAGTCCCTTGAGTGAAATCAATTAACTTCTTGTTTTGTCCAACCAGCGGCCTACAATGCAAAGGTATTCCATTAATGCAGAATAAAACAAAGGACAGCATACAATCATCACATCTGACAATCTGGAGTAAGTGAATACTTGGTGTTTTTTCTTCATCTATGACTTTTATGTTTATCAACTGATTATGTTAATTGTTTCTGATATCAACGGATAATAAACTGTCAACTAATCATTTCAACACTGGAGCTTAAAAATAAATTAGATTCTCATTTGGTAACATTTTAACTTTTCTAGTATTTTTCTAGTATTAACAACAAATATATATGTTAATAGATTAATGCAACACATAACACATCATCATATAGTCAAAACTGTTGACTTTCACTTGTTTTTATGGTGGCATTTGGCATAAAACCAAAATTGTCAATAGTATGAATCAGAAAAATGTGGCAAATCATCACATTTGAGAAACTTGACCCAGCAAATATTTGGTATTTTTGTTTCACTTATGACTTAAATTAATGAATATTGTGCTTTCTTGTAGTACTTGAACACTGAAGTGGCCCTCCTATGTGATGATAATACCAGTGATGGCCCTAAGCCAATTTGAGTTTGAGACCCCTGACTTAAATGATTACTCAGTTAATCATTAACTGAATATCATTTCTAAAGACACTTCTGCACGAGGTCTTGATAACGTTTCTCATTGCTCATTTGAATATTTAAATATTTTTCGAGTGTATTTTGTGTTAACCATAACACATAGATGAGAGAAAGACACACACACACACACAGA